GTATGAATAGAGATTGTAATCATACGTGGAGTGGTTATTTATAAATTTAAATAGTTATTATTGGGTTTATTTTTTAACTATCGTTAATTTTGAAAAAAAATGTGATATGGTTAGTTGTAGACGTGGAAAAGGGCCGCCCGACACGAACTTGGCCCGGTCAAACCCATTGACCACGGGTTCGGAACCGGACCGAATTTCCGACGGGTCGTGTCAGAGTCATCCAATTGATGACCAACTTTTCCTATTTTTTTTTTCTATTGTTTTTTTAAAAATGTCGGACCCGGCTCGAACACGACCCGACACGGACCCGGTTTGGACCGGTCATCTGGGCCATTGACCCAGCACGAGTACAGGTCTGTGTCGAGTCCGGGTCATTGTTTTCGAGTGCGGCGGCCCGGGTTTTAGCATGTCTAGGTTAGTTGTTAGTGGATATATTAAAATAATATTTAAATAAAATAATTAAGTTGATTTGATGTAAAGTATGAGAAAATAATAGGAAGTGATTGTTAGTTAAAATTATGTGAGTAGATGAATAGTAAACTAAAATTGATGTGATGTGTAAGAATGATTGGTTGAAATTATTTAATTATATTGACAATAACTAGTACAATGCCCGTGTATTACACGTGTGCTTCCTAATTTTTTCTTTAAAATCTAAAATTAAAGATAAAAAGTAGTTGAAAATTTAAATACCTTTTATAAAAATATATATATTATTATATATTTAGTACGACGCTTTTTATTTGTGCGACTTACATGTGTTTTATTATAATAATTTTTTAACTTACAACATATAACTACATTAAACATAAAATATGAATTGAGAACTAATTTTATTTTTCTAATGAATTTTAATAAATATTATTATTTTTTATTATTAAAAAGATAAATATAATTTATTTATTTCATATATACAATATGGATGTCAAATCGAAGATCATCAAAAGATTATTAGTTTGATATATTATATATGCAAATCATTTTGAAGGAAACAAATCAAAAGTCAGGGATAAATTAGTCACTTAGTGTCTCACTATGTAAAATTACAAATAATCAAAGAGTTATATTAGTACAAGTGATATTAAAATACCTAAGTTAGCTAAATAATATTTATGGAATGTCTGAACATAGATTATTAATTATTAATATATCAAAATTATTTGTCCAAACCTAATTACGAAGCATGATTCTTCGCCAAATAGAATTACGAAGCACTAGAAACGTGGTCGTAGATAAATTCCATACACGAATGAACTTTGTGGTTACACATAGATTATTTGAAATCTAAATACGCATGTTTTCTTACCGATCAAAAAAAATTCTCCCTATATATAATTTCCGAATGCGCTGAGCCTACGTGGCTGCTTCTGGTGCTTCGGAATCATATTTGGCGAAGAATCATGCTTCGTAATTAGGTTTGGATTAATAATATTGATATATTAATAATTAATAATCTAGGTTCGGATATTCCATAAATATTATTTAGTTAACTTAGGTATTTTAATATCACTTTTACTAATATAACCCTTTAATTCTTTGTAATTTTACATAGTGAGGCACTAAGTGACTAATATATCCCTGAATTTTGATTTGTTTTGATATATTAATAATTAATAATCTAGGTTCGGATATTCCATAAATATTATTTAGTTAACTTAGGTATTTTAATATCACTTTTACTAATATAACCCTTTAATTCTTTGTAA